ATTTATTTTGTTATGAGGTAGATAATGGAAGGAAGAAAGAAGCTTCTGACCTTAGACAAAATAGCTTTAGACCAATTCTAAAGTTCTTTTAAAGAAAACGAAACGACTTTAGACAAAGCAAAGCAAGAAATATGTGTACGAGGAAAGAACAAGAAAAACCCATTCATGATGAATTGAAGACTCATTAATTAATAGAAAATCCCATTAATTTTTCTTCTATGGAAAAACAATCATTTTCGCCCTTTCATATTTGTAATGTTCACATTTGTAGTTTTCACTTATTCATTAATATTAAGGTTCATTACCATTTAAAATAATATTAGTTAATATTTTTGTTTCTAGTATTGTAAAATATAAAATATGAATCTACATATTCTAAGTTCTTACTATTCAAATCAATATTCTTTAACAATATTAAAAACAAAAATAATAAAAAAGGCCCATATATATGATAAATTCAATAATAAATTATTATATGTTGTTTTGAATTCTCAGTGATTAATTAAATGATTTTGCAAACAATAATCTAAAAGCACATTTCAAGATGATTACATAAAGTAATATCTTCATTCAATACATTAATATCATATTTGATGCATAGGGTTATTGATAGGATATGATGATAATTATTTTATATAATATTTGATTTTTATTTAAAGAAAGGGATAGAGATTATAAAAAAGATTAATATCCTCTTGACATAAAATTATTCAATCTTTCTCAAGTGGAAAAGATTATTTTTAATCCATAAGATTAAATTTATATATCCAATTATACCCTTAAAAATTATATCAATAATATAAATTATATAAATTATGAAAAAAGATAATTTTGACGAATAAATAAATTATCCTATCTTAATCATTCCATCTATCAAACACAAAGTAAGATGATATTATTTAATCCAATTTTGTTCATAAGATCATCTTATCCTATCTTATCATAATCTTGTATATTAAATATGATTTAAAAATAATAGATATAAAATTATTAATTATATATCAATTATTACATTTAATATAAAATTATTATGATAAATAGTATATTAACTAATTTTAGGGAGCAAAGAATTCTTTAGTAATTATTTTAAATGTGTGAGTATGAATCAAAGTAGGAATGGCGACGGAATAGAATGGGCTATTTTTGAAGTATTTATATATGAATTTATTTACTTTTCGTTATATTCGAATTCTTTTAATTTATTTAAATATTTGATTAAATTAATTAGTTTAATATCCAATTGTAAATCCATTTAAATAAGTATTATCAACTAAATATTTAAATCACTAAAATATTTGATTATTTAAGTTTTTTTGTTAAACTATAAAATAATTAAATTTAAATTTAAAATTCAAGTTGAATTTTAATAATAACAAATAAAAATTTTTTGTTAAGGTTCAAAACCTTCTACGACTATAAAATTTTATATAATTTGCATATATAAACAGATAATAAATTCGGATGTTCAATATTATCCATCAAAATTTAAACGGATCCAAATATTCAAAAAATACTATCTAAATTCGTCATAGATATTAAACTTACTATAAAAAATCATAATTATCCACTTATAAATTTTTTATCAGAACATAATCAAATTAGATAATACCAAATATATGATTATTTAGTATATATTATCATCTTTAAATGAAGTCCAAGAGAGAAGCAATCAATTAAATCTAATGAAAAGGATGGAAAGGTGAAGCACGGTCTAAAGCTAAGCTACTGTCTCCCATTATTTCCACTGACTTGACATCAACATACAAGCGAAATCTGAATGCGTGGAAACTCAGTTGCAGCACTTTTACTTTGTTGGCTGGATGTTTCCGGTATGCTTTCATCTTTTGCCTTCGTTTCATTTCATTCATATATTTGCTTCGGATTTTCAGGTTAGGTGGGAAATATTTTTACAACATGTGATGCCATATATACAATAGGTTTTGCAATAAAAAATGCAACAAACGGTATCCATTTGACTAAACAATATTCCTTTTTCTTAGTTATTAATCTAATGGTGTCAGGATAACTAAACTCTATTAGAGACCAAAGAATAACACATACTATTATAAAGAAAGAATTGTTACAGTAATTATTCTATTCTTTGAATGCTTATTTAGAAAGAAAATGATACATATGAGGAAGTTGATCGAGGGAACAAAAGGAGATTCATCGAAGAAGAAGAATAAGAAGAAGAAACAAACTTATTAATTGGAATTTTCAAAAAAAGAAAGTGTTCTATCTAATTTTATAATAACTGAGTTGAGTTGACTGATACATCTTTGTAAGTTTTACTTTCCTTCAAATGTCAAGCTTAGTAAAAATTATAATTATGTTTTAGTAATGGAGAAATTCCTTCCTTCTGATATATATGTAAGACTATTACCTAACTTTAAGATTTTTTTTTTTTCGTACCAATACATAATATGAAATAAAAAGTGGGAATCAAAGAAACAATATAGTGACAAAGATTAATTTACAAAAGCAAAACTATCGGCCTTATCATCATTGAAACCCATTATTCATTCTTTAAAATTCCAAATAGACAAGCAATAACCATATCTGTCTTCCACCTATTTTGATTCAACTCTCACAGAAAAAGTTCAAACTCGTACAAACATGTGGTTGGAAAAACACATTTGAACTTATCTCTTGAGATCAAGGGAGATATATAGTTACAATATGAAGTACTTGTCTATAAATACCTGTATGCAAATCTCAAACTGCACAATCTTCCCTTCATTTTTTTTATAGAGAGCCAACAAAACATGAAGAATCTTCATATCCTAATATCACTCATTTTTCCTACCTTATTTCTCTTCTCATGCTCTGTCTCTCTTTTGCTATCTTTTTCCCCTCCTTATACTGATCTCCAAAACCAGTGCCTTGATGACCAAAAATCTCTTCTACTGCGACTGCACCACGATCTTTACTATGCCCCAAATTTTACTTTCTCTTCCAAAGTTGAGCTTTGGGATCCCAACACTGATTGTTGCTCTTGGAAAGGAATTACATGTGATGCTTTGGGTCATGTGACTGGACTTGATCTTAGCAACAAAAACCTTTCAGGCAGCTTTCACTCCATTTTCAATCTCCATCATCTTCAACGCCTTAATCTTGCTGGAAACAATTTTAATACCACTCTGTTTCAATATGAGTTTGACAGACTCCTAAATTTAACTCATCTCAACCTTTCAAACTCATGTTTCCTTGGCCAAATTCCAGCAGGGATTTCGTGCTTAACAAGGTTAATCTCTCTTGATCTATCTAATCAAAATTCATGCCATCAACGGTATAACCAAATTCTCCGTCCATACGACGACTTCCTCTACTATTCACTGCCTTTTGACCTTCAACAACTTCTTAAACTAGAAAACCCAAACTTTAAGACATTGATCCAAAATTTAAGACTTCTTACGGAGCTCTACTTGGATAGTGTGAACATTGCAACTCAAAGTACTAGATGGTGTGAAGCCATATCCATACTACTTCCTAACCTGCATGTGTTAAGTCTTTCGAATTGTGGTTTGACAGGTCCATTTTGTTCTTCACTCTTAAGACTCCCTTTTCTTTCCAAACTTTTCCTTGGTGGGAATTCAATCTCTTATTTGCCTCCCAATTTCTTGGAAATTTCCTCTAATTTGGTTTCTCTCAGTTTAGCGAGTTGCAATTTGAGTGGGGATTTTCCAACAGAAGTTTTCTCATTGCCAAAAATACAAAGCATTGACATTTCAAAAAATGACAATCTTGAAGGTCAGTTGCCAGAATTTCCATTAAACAATACTTTACGGATCTTAATGATTTTTTTTACAAATTTCGGTGGAAAACTGCCAGAAACAATTGGTAATCTCAAGTTCTTGACAACTTTAGATCTCCGTTTTTGCAATTTCTTTGGACAAATTCCATTATCAATTGCCAATCTTACTAACCTTGTGGAGCTGAAATTGGGATATAATAATTTCAGTGGTTTAATCCCTCCATTTCATAGATTAGGAGTTCCAAATCTTTCATATCTTGATTTCACATGGAACCACCTCTCTGGCTCAATTCCTTCTTCTTTATTTACTCTCCCATCATTGCATACCCTGCTTCTTTGGCGAAATCAATTGATTGGTGAAATTGGTGAGTTCCCCAATGCATCTTCTTCATTGATTGAAGCATTGTATTTAGACTACAATAGCTTTGGTTCCGTGAAGCTTGACATGTTCTCCCAACTCAAGAACTTAAGGTTTCTTGGCCTTTCCAATACGAGCTTGTCAATTGAAAGCAACATCACAAGCCTTTCTTTTCCCCAATTAGAGGAACTAGACCTGAATTCAGTAACCTTACTGAATTTCCAGAATTCATCAAAACTCAAGACAAGTTGGCTTTCCTAGGTCTTTCTAACAACCAAATCCATGGTTTTGTGCCTAATTGGTTATGGAAGACCACTCTTTTAGGGTTAGACCTTTCTTTCAATGCGATTGGTTTTTCAAAAGAGGTTCCTTTTGGTGATGCAAACTCCTCTTTTCCAATGTTGAGTGTCTTATATTTACAATTCTGTAACCTAAGTATGTTTCCAGAGTTTTTAAAGAGTCAAACTAGTTTAGAATATCTAGACCTTTCAAATAATAAAATATGTGGTGCAGTGCCGAATTGGGTGTGGAAGAAAAGTTTGAGGAATCTGGATCTTTCTAACAATTCTCTCTCATTTTTGGACCAATTTTCACTAAACCAATCTCTAACTTCTTCACAAGGCTCTTTATCAAGACCTATTTGCAATTTGAGTCAACTTAGGACCTTTAATGCATCCTTTAACAAATTAAGCGGGCCAATCCCAAGTTGCTTGGGCAATATCAGTTCTCTCGACACTTTGGATCTACAAAAAAATAATTTCAATGGCAGCATACCAGATTTTGCAAAAGCGACCCAATTATATTGGCTTCAACTCAATGATAATAAATTAGAAGGGAAGTTGCCAAGGTCATTAGCCAATTGCACAATGCTCCAAGTTTTAAACCTTGGAAACAATACTCTGCATGACACATTCCCTTTGTGGTTGGGAAAATTGCCCGCGTTGATGGTCCTTGTATTGCGAGCAAATAGGCTTTATGGTCCAATTAAACATGTGAAAAATTGTTTTCAAGACTTAGATGTACTAGATATTGCTTTCAATAATTTTTCTGGTCAATTACCAATTGAATTCTTTCAAGCTCCTCAACTAAGGTCACTCAAAATTGGTGGGAATAAACTGGAAGGAAAGTTGCCAAGGTCATTAGCCTATTGCAAAAAGCTTGAAGTTTTGGACGTTGGAAAAAATATGATACAAGACACATTTCCTTTTTGGTTGGAGAAATTGCCTTCTTTAAAGGTTCTTGTATTAAGAGCAAATAAATTCTATGGTCCAGCTAAAACTTCTGAGGATGAAAATGCTTTTCCAGAGTTACACATATTGGACCTTGCTTCCAATAACTTTTCAGGTGAGTTATCTATTGGATTTTTTCGATCTTTGAAGGCAATGACGACAATGACTGATGGCAAGAAAGCTAAGCCAGATTACATTGGAGACAAGCACTACCAGGACTCCCTGACAATTGTGAATAAAGGGTGTGAAATTTTTTACAAGAAAATCTTAACCATCTTTGTTTGTCTTGACCTTTCCAATAATAGTTTCCATGGGAGAATACCGGAGGAAATACAAAACCTCAAGTCACTCAAAGCGCTAAACTTCTCCTACAACAGCTTCCTTGGCCCAATCCCTTCAGCACTTGGAAACTTAACTGAGCTTGAGTCGTTGGACCTCTCCCAGAACAACCTCTCAGGAAAGATTCCTCCACAGCTTGCAAGCCTAACTTTTCTTGAAGTATTGAATCTCTCTTACAACCAACTTGAGGGAAGCATACCACAAAGCTACCAATTTGGTACATTTCCAAACGATTCTTACAAAGGGAACCCAAGATTGTGTGGGCCGCCTTTGACAAAGAAATGCAATGAAGTTGGTCTTGGAATGCAACCCCCTAAGGAAGATGAAGATTCATTGGTAGATGGTATATCTATTTGGAAAATCGTATTGATTGGGTATGGATGTGGTTTGGTGATTGGGTTATCTATTGGATATACAGTGTTGAATGAGATGGGAAACAAATGGATGGATAGGTTTACATGGAATTGGAATAAAAAATGGAGAAGATCTTTTAAGTGATTCTATCAAAACTCAAGTTTCAAATTCATTTGGTAAGCATTCTAGAATACTTAAATCACTCAAAAATTTTTTTATTGGTTCTTTCAACTGTAGTTAATTGCCTAAACAAATAAAATTATTTAAATACTCTCGTGCATTATAAGTGTGATATATATATATATATATATATAATTGCACTAATTGATATTTGATTAAAGTGATTACTTTTGAAATTTAATTAAAGAAGATTTCAACTTTGTACGACTCATTTTCTTTTTAAACTTGGCATTGCTTTTAAATCTGAAAACAAAAATTGCCTGCAACCTAAGATATGTCCTTTGAATTCCTAACCTCATTTTATAAATGACAATCATGAGTTTTCAAGTTACTAATTTGTAAAAGACATGTGGGTGACTGGCATTTTGAGTTAGATTGGGCTGTCAACCATCTTAACAGCAAAGCAAAGCTTCAGCATTTATTGTCCTTAATTAGATTGGCTTGGGATGCTCATGTATATTTTATTTGGCAGGAGCACAATCAAAGGAAGTTTGGCAGGCCATCTAAAGATATAGAAGCTATTGTTTCAACTATCAGAAGTTACTTTTCGCTTAGCTCAATAACAAGATTGCAGTCTTCAGTTGCACTCTTCCTCTTCAACAACAGAAATTATGTCTGAATGTTTTTGGCTTGGTGTTACGGTTCTCTTGTCTCATTTCTTTCTCTTCTGCTCACCTAAGATGAGTGGCAGCATGTGTGGTTGTATTGTGCTTGTCTTCTGTTCTGTCTATAAGGTGGTGTTTTACTGCTGAGTTATGGGGTTCCCCTGTTGTTCACCCCATTGTGCAACTCTGTTTTTATTAATAATTTCTGGCTTAGCAAAAGAAAAATGTGTCTGAATTGGGGACTGGTTCCTTAATGTTGCTTAGTTTGATTACGTTGCAAAAGTTAGATTGTTTGTGGACATTTGTAACGTTTTGATAGCTTACTGTTTACTTGTAGCAAGTCTAATGCTTTCTTTGGGTTAATAAAAATCATTCACCCAAAGAAATTCTTAACGAAAATCTTATTATCTTCTAAGCTCTTCATTATTGTTATACCTAAGAGATCATATTAGCAGCCACATAGTAGGTCTTACACATGAAAACCCAGTTTGCGACGTCGTCATCTAAAAGGTATGTATAAAAAGTAGAACCAGACCAGACAGATGATTCACTACTGAACTCTCTCTACTCTCTTTAACTGCTTCTTACTCTCTCTCATTTACTTGCTTGTGGTATACCTTACTAACTTGAGCGTTGGGGAATGCCTCAAAATAACATTTTTGGCACACTGACTTCCTACCGTGTGATAGGTCACACAAACTCTCCTTCTCAACCTCCAGTAAAACTTTCGACTATCAGACCAGGAATTACATCAACAATATCAATTATGCAACTCAACTATTTGCCGTGCAGGTATTTGATATAAGCCATGGCATGTACAACAATGACTACGCCTACCACTTTAGCTGCCAAAACTAGAAAGTACATCTCCTAACACAGAAAAATCTTCACAGACCAAGCTCAAGCTAAGATGCTTTATTCCTTTATTAACTGCTACATCACTACAGAGAAAAAAACAACGAAAAGAAAATAACAAAGCTTCCAGTTCCAGGTATCAAGCTCGACAATTCCGAACTAACTTCGATAGTATTTTATTGTCCCTAACAACTATAGATTTGACCATGGCGAGAAAGATTGATATATTTCCTTTATTATTTTATTCAACTTTAATCCCATATCATCTTTTGTTTCTTTGCTTCAGCACTCCCACAGACAAAAACAAATGGTTTGTTGTAAGCTTTATTGCTATATGATTGATTTGCATGTATTGACTAAACAAAAACATGAGGGCAATACATTCAGTAACTTATATATACTCACTTCTCTAGAATGCCAATGAATCCTTTCAGTAACTTATTCTCTATCTAATAGAAATAAAGCGTCATAACTAAATAGCCAATATTCACATTGATGTGCTAAGTGTTCTGATATAGCCACTAATCCATAATTAAAAGATGAAGTAATAGACGACATGCTATCTTTCAATCACTGGTCATTTTATAGGTAGTATTTTCTCTAGTGGCCACCTTGATGCTGTAAACCAGGAAGGTTGTCAAGCCTTCTGACATTTAGCCTATTTTGAGTATTAGCTCAGAATTTATGTTTAGAAGATTGGTGCAGGTAAAAAGATATCTGATGACTTTGGGGTTGACAAAAGCCACATTGGACAGAGTGATCATGCATATATGAAGACTTTGCCGCTAGAGGCTTTCTCCTACAAGTGTCCTCGTGCGGCCCTGAGTTCTTGCTCATTTGAATCCTTCTCTAACTACAAATGTAAGTATCAACTAGAAAAATAGTTTATTCTTATGAATTCAGTCATTTGAAAATTTTACAGGGAAACAAGAAAACAAAAACTCATGCTAAAAAAGAAAATTTTAGAGGGAAAAAAGGAAACAAAAAGATTACTATTTCTTGAGTTTAAGTTTAGGTTTGCTAGCTAATTTCACTTTTTTTTTTTATTTAATGCAGACTGAAAAATCAAAGAGTTAGCTATATAAGTACATATACATATACACCTTTAAAAAGAACAAAAAATGGAACAAATTTTACCTTGTTCAGATTGTTGAGGTTCTGTTTCAAATTGCTGAGGTTCTTTTCCTGGATACTGGGGCTCGCTTGAATCTGTCATCTTGACAGAAACAAGAGCGAAGGTTTTATAGGTTCCTTGCCTCAAGCAAGATGAACTTCAAGTCATTTACGACTGTTGCTTCAATCACTTGAAAGAAGGTTTTAAACTAAGTGAGTCAAAATCCTTATTACAATTAATTAAGGTAATGAATGATAGAAGATCAACACACTAACTGGTGTCATAACTAAATTTTCATAGATAAGATCAAGCTTTCTCTCATGAAAGGCTAAATGCTAAATTTTTTACCCAAATCATAAATTTCTATTGATGTAAGAAAGTGAAGGAATTAAATTTTTTATCCTAATCACAAAATATTTACAGTACTCACCTGAACAAGAAGTCTAAACCGCAATGCCCAATATATTTACTATCACCCACGATTGAATAATCGGAATTGAAATTACTGAACAAGAAGAGATCATCCTTTGTCAAATACTGCATTCACCATTCCAACACTTACAAATCAAATGAGGCTAAAATCATAACTGAATACATCCTCCAAAAATTAAGAGAAAAATAACATTTTATTGGCTGGTCATACTGCTTGCAGAGCTCAAAAACTGCTCTGCAGAAATGTACAAGCCTTTTTGGATTGGAGAGATTGAATGATATTCAAAAACACATGGTCAATTTAAGAAGTTGACTAGAGAGACCATATATTTTGGAACAGCAACATGCTTTAAGGGCCATATGTAGGGAGGGAGAAATGTCTATAGCCTCAATATTTGATCAAAACTATTCTCTCCATTGCACTCACTAAACCACACACACTCACACACTGAGGTTCAAGCCTACAAGGTAACATATGCAATTCTAAGTTAAAACACAACCTTTGGTGATCTACGAAAGTCCATGCAGATAGAAATTCAGATACAATTATTCTAAAACAGAGCATAAGATTAATTTCACAAAAATATTTAAACTCAAAACCTGTTCCTTTGCTATCCAATAATATTTGCCAATTCAGATGAACATAAAGGAGGAAAAGAAAATAACAACAATAGTGGACAAACATTGTACCTGTTTTACCGAAACAATTGGCCAGAGATCACAAAACTTATCAAAAATGTTTGAGTAATTAATATCAAAAGACTCATATATCATTCCATTCTTCAGAATCCCAAGAGACTGGTTATTCCTTCTATGGAGCTGCATTCCATGTTTTGAAAAAATTGTGTCCGGAACACTGTTTGTTGGATCATCCCTCACCACATCTACAAATCCCACCATCCAAACAATACTAAATCATTCATAAATTATGAAAACACAGAAAGTGATGAATCAAATTTCACCAATAACAAAATATCAAAGCATATACCATGCCAATTTTCAAACCAAAAAACTCAACAATAGATTTCAATTGCAGACACTTTCAATCAATTCATCATACTCGAAGAAAGGTGTAATCTACCTAGACTAATCACCTTATATACATCTTCCATCCCAAAACATACCAAATCAAAACACCATAAATTGAACTTTCTTATCAAATACAACTTGAACACACACAAAGGGTAAATTTAAAAAAGAAGCAACACATAAATGCAATTAACCTTTGCCAACCCAGATTTAAACACGAGATAAAATACCCATTACTCTTAACAATTTACTAGTCATAGTCAAAATGCTATATCTGCAAATACTGAAATGGCTCAGTTCATGGAAAAGTCAATAAAATCATATAACAGCAAAGCCCAAGTTCATAAAAGTAGGAATTTGTTACCATCTTTAGCAATTCTGATTCCACCAAGCTCTAGCACTGAGGAAGCCACTGGTTGTCTCCACTTTTTCATAGTAGACAGAGAAGCAGCAACAGAAGAAGAAGAGAAGGGTAAGAAAAAAGTGAAGCGTTTGAAACCATTTATGTGGTGAAAAAGGGTGGCAGTTGAATGAGCAGTTGAAACTACTGCCATAAAGCCTCGGTTTTCCGTTTCAGAATGCTGGATTCTGTGAAGAGAAGGAACAAGGATTAGTCAGTTTGGGACTCGTTTCAAAGGCACGAAAAAATTAAAAATACGCTAATTATGTAAAATAAGAAAAACTTTGCTCATGGGATATGCGCGTTCGACGCCAGCAACCTAACTATTAGTTAATTTCAAATTTTTATTAAAATATATAACATATTTTTGTTAGAGCAAAGCTCCTGCCAGCAAGGCTGAGGAAACAAAATAAATAAACCGAAAGTCTATGCAAAGAATTGAGAAATCAAAAATCGATTAAAAATTATAATAAATTTTTTTATTTGATTCAGATCGATGATTAAATATTTTTATTCAATTCAAATGATTTTTGATTCATTAAATTAAAAAAATTCCAATCGAACTAAATTATATTTTTATTAATTTTTATATAAATTTTATTATTTTATAAAATAAAAATAATTTTTATTTTAAAATAAAGAGAAATCAAATTACATAAAAAAAAATTATATTTTTTAATCATTAATTTCAATTGATACAAAAGATGGAATAAATAAATAAATAAATAATTTAATCTCATTTTTTAAATCAATTAAAATTAATAATTAAAAAACTATATAAAATTAAAAAATTTTATAGTGATATAAGCTAATCATTCCCTTTAAAAAAATAATATAAAAATAATAATAAATAAATTTTTAAAAATCAATAAATTAAATCCAATTAATAAAATTCAATTCAAATTAATTCAATTTAAAAAATAAATTAAAATTTAGATTAACTTTTGAAAAATAATAATACTAAATATTAATCAAAATAATCAAAGCGATTTCTTATCGGTCCAACTTGCTAGAGACAATGCTTTAAATCGGACCAATAATCAAAACCTCGGGTTACTGTTTTAACCTGTTTGACTGGTTTGATCGATGGATCCAACATCATCCATAATTAATTTTTGAAGAATTAAAAAAAAAAAAGGAAAAATAAGGTAGAATCAGGAATATTTAGAAAAAAAAAAATACTGCCCTTTTAAGGCTCTGTCTCCAATATTTTCATCAACGTAAAATTAATCTTTCGCTAAAAAACGTTTAGTTCACACTCAACTTTTTTTTAAGCAACTTTTTAACGGCGGAAAAAGATCCCTCTATAATAAGTTGTAGCGTAGCAGAGCATACCAATAAAAATATTACAAAAATTAATATTATGAATAATTTTAAATCATAATAAAATATTTAATATTATATTTAAATTTTAAAATTTTTTAATTTGATATTTAAATTATAAATTTATTAATTAATTTGATTCTTATTTTTAACGTGACTAGTTCAAATATCGCATTAAAATTTTTTAAAATTTAAATATTGTATTAAACATTTTATTATAATATGTGCAAGTCATACAACATAAAAAATGAGATCAATGAAAATTATTAATTTTATTTATTATTTTATGTGATTTAATAACTTAATTTTAAAGCCGCGGGAGCAGCTCGAGCAGTGCACCGGTAGCCGACGGGTTCGGAATTGAGACCCCCGTACCCAACCCTTAGAGCCAATCCTTTTCCCGAGGTTACAGATCCATTTTGCCGACTTCCCTTACCTACATCATTTTAAAAGCATTGACATTTTAAAAAATTACAATCTTGAAGGTCAGTTGCCAGAATTTCCATTAAACAATGCTTTACGGATCTTAAGGATTTTTTCTGTAAATTTCGGTGGAAAACTACCAGAATCAATTAGTAGTCTCAAATTTTTGACAATTTTAAGTCTCCATAATTGCAGTTTCTTTGGACAAATTCCATCATCAATTGCAAATCTTACAAATCTTGTGAAATTGAGTTTAGCAATTAATAATTTTAGTGGCTTAATCCCTCCTTTTCATAGATCTGGAGTTTCAAATCTTTCGTTTCTTAATAATTACATTGGAGACAAGTACTACCAGGACTCTACGACAATTGTAAATAAAGGGTTTGAAATTTTTTACAAGAAAATCTTAACCATTTTTGCTTGTCTTGACCTTTCCAATAATAGTTTCCATGGGAGAATACCGGAAGAAATACAAAACCTCTAGTCACTCAACGCGCTAAACTTGTCCTACAACAGCTTCCTTGGCCCAATCTCTTTAGCACTTGGAAACTTAACTGAGCTTGAGTCGTTAGACCTCTCCCAGAACAAACTCTCCGGAAAGATTCCTCCACAGCTTACAAGCCTAACTTGCCGTGAAGTATTGAATCTCTCTTACAACCAACTTGAGGGAAGCTTACCACAAAGCTACAAATCTATACATTTTCAAAGGATTCTTACAAAGGGAACCCAAGATTGTGTGCGCCACCTTTGACAAGGAAATGCAATGAAGTTGGTCTTGGAATGTCACCCCCTAAGAAGACGAAGATTCATAGGTAGATGGTATATCTGTTTGGAAAATCGTATTGATTGGGTATGAATGTGGTTTAGTGATTGGGTTATCTATTGGATATACAGTGCTGAATGAAATGGGAAACAAACGGATTGATAGGTTGACATGGAACCGGAATTGAAAATGGAGAAAATCTTCTAGGTGACTCTATCAAAATTCAAGTTTCAAAGTCATTTGATAAGTATTTTAGAATACTTAAAAACTCCAAAGTTGTTTTGTTGATTCTTTGAGCTGTAATTAATTGCCTAAACAAAAAAAAATTATTTAAATACCCTCTTGCATTATAAGTGTGATATATATACATATATATATTGTATCTCTACAAAAAATGATATTTGACTAAAGTAATTTTATTTGAAATTTAATTAAAAAAGGTTTCAACTTTCAGCGTCTCATTTCTTTTTTAAATTTAGCATTGCTTTTAAAACTAAAAACAAAATTTGCCTGCAAACTAGGATATGTCCTTTGAATTTCCTAACCTCATTTTACAAATGACAATCATGAGTTTCCAAGTTAATAATTTGTACCAAACATGTGGGTGACTGGTATTTTGAGTTAGATTAGACTGTCAAATATCACATTAAAATTTTTTAAAATTTAAGTATTATATTAAATATTTCATTATAATTTAAAAATTATTTATGACATTAATCTTATTAAAAATTACATTTTTTGTGCAGGCCGAATGAGATCAATGAAAATTATTAATTTTATTTATTATTTTATGTGATTTAATAACTTAGTTTTATTCATATTGTAATTTAAGATGTATTAAAATCATATTGTTAAGAAGGAATTGTAAATGGTTCAAAACAAAAACATGAGTGCATCACTTCTTTTAATCTAACAAAGGAAGAATTCTTGGATATCCCCACACAAATAGCTGATCATCATCCTACACATGGGTATCAATTGTTTTTGTATACAGTGTCAGACGCAAAGGTTGGAGTATGTTGTTCATAGGCATCTTAAATATTAAAAAAATTTAAAAAATTTAAAAGAAAAATTTTTATAAACATTCTCAAAAATTTTTTTCTTAATGTTATTTCTATCGATAAAATTAATAAATTCATCAAAATAAAATTTAATAATATTAATAATGATTCTTGATTGAATAATTTTTAATTACATATATTGAAAACATTATGTATTTAATAATATTAATGATGATGTAATCATAACTTTTTTTTTTAAACGTGAGAACTTTGGATAATTATAATAATATAACAATATATTGTTTTAAATTTGTGTTTATAATTTATATATATATATATATATATAAATATATATTACAAGTACATGCTTTGAAAAAAATCCATTTGTTGTGTACAAAGAGAGAAAATATCTTTGCATGGTGCATTTTGCACTAACATATGAAGTTTGGGAAATGGAAATATATGGCAGAAAGTAATCTTGAAAAAGAATAAGTTTAACCTTCAATTACGATAGTAAGTTGAAAGAATTGAATTTTTTAAAGAGCGAAGCTTTGTTTTTTCTATAAAAGTTATATACATTAGAATTAGATCTGGATTTTTTTATTTTTTTAAATTATATTTTAAATATGAAAAAGTAAAAATTTTATATAAATTTTAATGGATGATAACATATAGACAAATTTAAGGATATTTATCTTTTTAATATAAATTACAACATATATAAATGTTGTTTTTTTATTAATTTTAAGTATTAAATAGTATATTTATTAATATAATATATAAATATAAATTTAATAAATAATAAAATATATTCTTTTATATATCCAAAGGAGAATTGAAATTAAATACTCCAAATCTAATCATGACTTTACCTAAATTGTTCAAAGAGAAAAAAATTAACTCAATTCTTATTTAAAAAAAAAAAACTTATAGATTGTAGCGAATCGAAACCTATAGATTGTTTTATCATCCCTACATCTATTTATTTTTTCTTTATAAAATTTATTTAATAAAAATTTTAAAAAACAAAAAAATGACTAAAGAAGTCAATTGGAGTGACACATAAATTTATTAATTTAAAATATTAAATAATATTTTTTATTAAAAAATATATAAATATAGAATTAAATAAATAATATATATTTTTATATATACCAAAATCGAAGTGTAACACTAAAAATCTTACTTTTTTCTAAGCTTGATTTAAAAAAAAAATTCAACTCATTTATCACGAATAAAAAGGAAACACACCAATTGAATTGGGATAAATCAAAACCTATTATATACAAGTTATTTTGTCACCTCTATTTCAATTAATTTTTTTATTACAAAATTTATCTAATAAAAACTAAAAGTAAAAAATTAGAAGAAAAAAAGAAATACCAAAAAATCAGAAGTTTTAAAAGGTAAAAAAACAAAAAACAAGAGAGAGAGGTACCACCTTGGCAAGTAGAACACTTTAAATCCTTCTTCAACACAACCCTATTTTCAAAAAAAAAAAAAAGATTCAATCTTAATTTAAAAAGAATGCACTTCATGCCAATTAAAATTAATCGAATACAAATTATTTTATCATCCGTACTTTTATTTTTTTTACAAAATTTATTTCATAAAAAAATTCAAAAACTAAATAAAAAGAAAAAATAAAAAATAAAGAAAAAATAAAGCTTTGGAGGAAGGGCAGGGTGAAAACACCCTCTCCTTTT